TCAGAGAACAGCACTAAACAGTCCACTTGGGCTTGAAGTTCAGTTGCACATTCCAGAAGCTGTTTGTCCAGCGTTAAGTGAACCAGGTTTGAACACACAAACACTCTCTCTCTCTCTCTCTCTCTCTCTCTCTCTCTCTTAGTTTTCAGAATGCTGGCTGGTGGATATGGATAACTAAGTCTACCTATTATATTTGGGAATAGGGTTACGTGCTCTTCTCCGCTTTCTAACTGGAATGTATTTATGCCTAAACCGAGGAGATGTGGATCCAAAATCTCAGCAGGTCTTAAATTTCATATTCCCTATGGATCTTTTGTAAGGAAAAGTTCGATACGCAATCTTTTTCTCACTCTTTGATGGTATGCCTCAAGCAGTCAGCTGAAGCAGCAGGACGGTCTCTAGTCTCTGTTCTTGTGGATCATGTGTTTCTTTGCATTAAAGATGCTGGTTAGTTTTTGTATATGCTTGAAAATATCATTTACTTGCTCAGAATTTGATTCGCTTGTTGATTTTATTGGGTTTAACTTTTACTACTCTTCATGGCGTTTCAGAATTCCAACTGGAACTACTGATGCAATCGCTCCTCTTTTCTCGGGTATATCCTCACTCATTTTTTTTTTATCTAGTAACTTTCATGATATTGTTTCCTGCCCGTATATACATTGAAACTTTCTCAGTTCTGAAAATCGTAAGCCAAATTTGAGGAACTTTAGTTTGGATTGTTTACGGTCTACATGTATTAGTTTAGTATGAGCTGCAGCATGAAACACACAGTATCTATTCGATTCTAGACGAAGTAAGGAGTTCCATAAGGAAATTAGGGATCCAGACTAGATTTGCTCTCTCATTACAATTGTTCTAATAGTTAATACAACTACATTTAATGGGTTTGACAATAAACTATATTTCTCTCCCAGTGATATTAGTATGTTAGGTTCGCTAGAAAGTTAAATCTCCTCGTAGGAATAGGTGCACTTCATTACTCTGAGAATCTTATGGATTATATCTTGGTATATGGTTCTGAAATCTGACATCGGTAGCCATGTATGTCTGCAGGCCTGTGTTTCGGATGGAGAATCAGCCAACTATTTGACTAAAATTTTGATTGGTGGGCTTTTTTTAAGGTGAATAGCTCGGACCAAAATCCCTGATTAGAATGAACCGTCTATAGCCTTTTTTAAAGTTCAAACTGCTTCATGTCATCATATCAGTACATTTATCGCCCCAAGTTTGCTAGGCTGAACTCTGAGCACTTTGTAAATACTGTCGATCTTCAGAGAATTAGTTTTCCTTAGCTGTGGCTTACCTCTTAAGTACGCGATAGGATATGGCTGTTTCGAGACCATATCCTATTACCTTTTGTTACCATGGTTTAGAAGGTAGAACCCAGAAACTTGCTTCATAGTGTACAGTTTATGGCATTTGATATTATATTGTGGAGATCTTCAAAATAATTTCACTTCTTATTGAGTGCTCTTTTCCCCTTTTCGGTTATTTGTTTCTCATGCATTTGCTGGTAGGTGAACTATTGCTTGATGTTTATAATATTTGATATAATTTCATGTGCATTTGTTGTTTCACAACATTGAATTTAAAGTTACATAATAATTCATGGTTGCAATTCAGGGATGCTTTTTCCCGCTCTCCTTGTGCTCTTATCCAACCATCTATGAAAGCTGCTGCTGAAGACCTTGCAGTTCCCGAATTTGGTATATATAACTGTGGAGTGTATTTTACAATAAATATACTCTTTTGTGCTTCCTGTCAATTGTTGAAACACCTTCATGCTGATTTATTTTCCTTCATATATTTGGGGCAGCCAAGAACGTTTGCCCTGTCATATATCCACTGGACAACGGGCCGTGGCAGTTAATCCAGGAGGTACCCTTGATCTCCTTACACTCTCTTCAGGTCAAGCCATCCCCAAAACCCCCACACCTATTCTCAAAGACGGTTATCCAGTGCCAACCACTTATGGTATGTTTATGTATATCAAAAGAATCAAAATTTTCTTTCCTCAACAAAATGTTCACCATATTTCTTGTAATCTTTCCAGGTTCATCTTCAGGAAGAAGCTTGTTTAAGGATCTCTTCTTTTCTGGCTGATGGCATAGTTGTGAACCCCGGTGACGTTTTGCCAGATAATTCCGTTAACTCTCTTCTTTTCACCCTCAAAGAGTTAGATGTTTCTGTTCCATTAGACATGAGTAACTTGGAAGACTCAGCAACCAAAGAAGATCTTTCAACAAAAAAGATCTTCGCTGGAGCAAGGCTTCATATTGAAAACTTATCTTTTGCGGAGTCACCAACCCTGAAAGTTCGACTACTAAACCTGGAGAAGGATCCTGCTTGCTTCTGTCTATGGCCGGGGCAGCCTATTGATGCCAGCCAAAAGAAATGGACAGCTGGAGTCTCACATTTTAGTTTGGCTTTAGAAACATCACCCAACTCTACTGAACATCAGAGCTCTCGTGGTCCGGAAATGGGTTTATGGAATTGTGTTGAAGGAAAAGACGTGTCTATAGAAGTTGCTATGGTATCTGCGGATGGGAAGCCACTGATAACAATTCCTCCTCCTGGTGGTATTGTTCGCATAGGAGTAGCTTGTGAGCAATATATTTCGAATGCTTCAGTGGAGCAGTTATTTTTTGTTCTGGATCTCTATTCTTACTTTGGTAAGGTCAGTGAAAAGATATCGACTGTCAAAGAAAGCAAACGCCAGAGTACTGTTTCTTTGGCTGGAGGGTTGTTGGAGAAGGTTCCTAGCGACACTGCTGTAAAATTAGCTTTGAAGGATCTGCAGCTAAAGTTTCTCGAGTCTTCCTTTACTAGTACCCAGGACATTCCACTCGTTCAGTTTCTCGGCAAAGATCTTGTTGTGAAGGTAACTCATAGAACCCTTGGCGGCGCTATTGCAGTATCTTCCAACATATACTGGGAAAATATTGAGGTAGATTGTGTAGATACCGAGGTACAACAAGAACATGAAAGTAGCTGTAATGGTGACTTAGTTGGCTGTAATGGGTCAACCCCATTGAGGCGTGTCTTTTGGATTGTCAACGGACGACATGATGGGCCTAGTGGCAGCAGTATTGTGACGCCTTTTCTTGACATAAGCATAACTAATGTGATTCCCCTAAGTGAGAAGGATATGGAGTGCCACAGTTTAAGCATCATGGCTTATATTTCAGGCATACGCCTAGGAGGAGGAATGAACTACACTGAAGCTCTTTTACACAGATTTGGGATTCTGGACCTTAATGGTGGTCCAGGAGAGGGTCTTTCAAGAGGGTTAGAGCATTTATCTTCTGGACCTTTGTCCAAACTTTTGAAAGCATCTATTGTTGATGACAGGAAACAAGGTACTGGAATAGACCCCTTTATCATCGTTCATGTGAAATTATCATATATGCAGATTGTTCTTGTTTACATCTTCAACTCTGCTAACCATTGTTGCCAACATATACATCTAGATGGAGCTCCAGGAAGTGAGAACGGAGATGCTTTTGCACATTTGGGAAGGCCAGATGATATTGATGTCTGCATTGAGTTAAGAGACTGGTTGTTTGCTTTGGAAGGAAGAGAAGGTGTGGCAGAAAGGTGGGGATCAATCGATAATGAAGAGATTGGAAGGGAAGAAAGGTGTTGGCACACGAATTTCCGTACTTTCCGAGTAATAGCTAAGAGTACACCAAAGCTTGTGGATACAAATGTGACAGAAACCAAGTATGATGCTCACAAATTTCCTGTAGACTCAATTATTGTAAGTATCTATCTATACACCTTATTTTCTCCTCATTATCTTTTTGGTGTCTTGCAAAATTACATTCTTGAATGCAATAATGACTGTCAACTATCTGGTAACTGAGCCTTTTATATTACATTTGTAAAAATGCATTATAGGTCAATGTGGAAGGTCTACAGACATTGAAGCCTCAGATGCAGAAAGAGACCATTCCAAATGGACATCACGAAAATGGTCACCTGCCTGGAGGGGTAAACATTGAAGCTAACATTGTGGCATCTGAAGACAAAACTGGTCATGATGACACGTTGAGCTGGGTGGCAGAAAGTCTGAAATTCTCTGTTAAGCAACCTGTAAGTGAAGCTGAGCTCATTGATCATTGCTCATCGCTTTCTTCTTTATAGGAAAACAGATTTTGTAATATAGAGTTTTTTTCCCCTTGTTCTTTCTTCTGCAGGTTGAAGCAGTGGTTACAAAGGACGAGCTGCAACATCTAACGTTCTTGTGCAAATCTGAAATTGACTCGATGGGTAGGATAGTCGCAGGTGTTCTTCGCGTGCTGAAGCTTGAAGAATCTGTTGGACATGCTACTCTAAATCAACTAAGCAACCTTGGTACACTTATCTCAAACTCCTCTGCTTCTATATCAAGAGAATAGTTCTTGAAGTTTATCGACCCATGTTGCAGGAAGTGAAGGTTTCGACAAGATGTTCTCACCAAAAGCGAGCAGAGCAGGCACTCCCAAAAGCTCTCCTTTTGCTGCATCATCAGATTCAATGAGGGAAATTTCTTCACGTGCAGACCTGGAATCTACCATTTCTTCCATTGAAGAAGCATCAGTGGAGTTAGAGGCCAAGTGTTCAGCTCTAGCTTCTGTTCTCAGCGATTCAGAATCAGAAACTTCAGCAAAACACATCAACGACCTGAAGCAGAAACTTGAGAACTTGCAGAGCTTGATGGCTAAACTACGAACCCAAATATAAAAGTGAAGCAGAGAAGCTAATTCTTATATGTATATAGCACATATAGAGATGAACCACTACTTGAAGAAGCCGGAAAATTTTGTATTTGTGTATTCATATGAGCAATGCTCTGTTTTTGCAGTTGCCCAAAAGAGTTATGATAAAGTTTTGAGATTTACTAGAAAAGCTCTGTTTTTATTTATTTATATACGTTCTTCATGATTGATGTTGATCCCAGTGACTTCTTTGAGTGACAGTTAATAAAAAGGATATAGCTTTACGTCTCTCCAGTGATGGCTGCTTATGGCGAGAATCTGATTGTTTCAAAACCTTACTTATTAGACCCTTCCTTGTACCTCAAGGCTCTCAAGCTATGCAGTTACCAAAACGTGGAGAAACAGTTTGTGTTGATCCATGGGAACTCTGTGACAAATGGGTTTGTCTCCAATCTCCATTTAAACAACAGTTTGATCAACTTGTACGCAAGACAAGGAGATGTGAAACACGCACGTAAACTGTTCGATAGAATTCCTCAAAGAGATGTTTGTTCTTGGAGAGTTATGGTCTCGGGATTCTCTCGATGTGGTTATCACCGGGACGCGTTGCTGTTGTTCAGACAGATGCGCCAGGAAGGTGTTAGGGCTGATATGTACATTTACGGTAGTGTCTTGAAGTCTTGCAAGGATTTGGGATGTCTGAGAGAAGGTATGCAGATACATGGTTGTGTGGAGAAAGGGAAAGTTGTAGGGAACTTAGTTGTGAGGAGTGCATTGCTTTGTCTCTATGCTAGGTGTGGGAAGATGAAGGATGTTCGTCTTCTGTTTGATTCAATGAAACAAAGGGATCTGTTTACTTGGAATATAATGATCTCTGCCTGTGACACTTCCTTTGGTCTGTTTCATTTGATGCTTGCGGAAGGTAATCTATACTTGTCTCTTCTTTCTACATTTTTGCGACTCAGTTTGGTTAAATAGCTTCTTGTACTGTGTTTAATGTCAGGGAAGAAGCCAGACTGCATTACCTTTGAGAGCCTCTTCAGAGCTTCTATTCAAGTCAACTGTCTTGAGATGGTTAGTGAGTTACACGGATTTGCAATCAAGATGGGTTTGGAGAGATCAAATGCACTGATTAGGTCTTTGATTGATGCATATGGGAAGTGTGGTAGCCTTGCCAGTGCTAAGAAACTGTTTGAGGGACCAATAAGAAGAGACTTAATCTCTTGCACTGCTCTAATCACAAGTTTTGCACAAGAGAACAACTTCACAAGTGATGCTTTTGATATCTTCAAAGAGATGATACTGATGAGAACTCAGATGGACGAGGTTGTAGTATCTTCAATGCTTAAAATATGCACCACCATCTCTTCAATATCCATTGGAAGACAGATCCACTCCTTTGCCTTAAAATCCTCACAAATCAGATTCGATGTTGCTTTGAGTAACTCTTTGATAGATATGTATGCAAAGTCCGGGGAGATTGAGGATGCAGTTCTTGCTTTCGAAGAGATGAAAGAGAAAGATGTGAGATCATGGACCTCGTTGATTTCAGGATATGGAAGACATGGGAATGTAAAGAAAGCAATTGATCTTTATAACAGAATGCAGCATGAAGGAACCAAACCGAATGACGTCACGTTTCTTGCTCTCCTCTCAGCTTGTAGCCATACAGGGGAAACCGAACTTGGCTGGAAGGTTTTCAACGCAATGATTAACAAGTACGGTATCAAAGCTCGAGAAGAGCACTTATCTTGCATCGTAGACATGCTTGCACGCGGTGGCAACTTGGAAGAAGCTTATGAACTGATAAGAAGTAAAAATGGCATCACTACAAATCTTAGCTCATCAGCATGGGGAGCTTTTCTTGATGCATGCAGGAGGCATGGGAACATGCAACTCAGCGAAGTAGCAGCTGCGCAGCTTCTGAGTATGGAACCAAAGAAACCGGTCAATTATATTAATTTGGCAAGTGTGTATGCAGATACTGGAGATTGGGACAATGCTTTGAAGACTAGAAGGCTTATGAAAGAGAGTGGTTCTTGCAATAAAGCTGCTGGATACAGCATTGTGTATTGAACAGAAGATTATGATATATATCTCAATAAAGGTTTTAAAGACACAAAAGTGAAGTTATTGAGGCTATAAATAGCATCTTAAGGTTCAGGGAATGAATAGCAATAAACTTTCCCAAATTGTAATATGATATATATATGAGTTACAACAAAACAACATGCATCTTCTTCTTCCAGACTCATAATCCATCAGTTCCTAGAAGACTCAGTTTGCTACTTGGTAATCACGTCCCAACGCCATATAGTCCCGTCCTCGCAGGCAGCAAGAATTGTGCTACAATGTCATGGAAAGAAACAGAGTGTGTAAAGAATCATGAAGCTTTCAATGAATTGGTGAGAGAGAGAAGATGAACATACCTTCCATCAACGGACATAGCGGTTTGCCTGATCACACATTTGGATTGATTGTGTGACAACCTATTTAACATGCAGAGAATAAGTGAAGCTTAGTCATATCATGTAAAGACCAAAGATTGTCTGAAGCCGGAAGTGACTTACTTTGTAACCAAAACAGGAGGGCAACTTTTTAAATCCCAGACAAAAATCTTTCCTTCCTGGTTCCCTGATAAAGTGATAACCAAGTAGCCATGAATAATTCTCAAATTTTGGTAAGAAGATTTTTAAAGTTTATAGTTTAATGCAGAATAGCATAGAGAGAGCTTTCTGATAACACCTATTGCAAGAGAACTGAGATGGAAGTCGTAAGAGAACTTGATAAACCAAATATCAGACATTGGAACCGGGTATCTTTGTAGAACATCTGAAGTACCCTGCAAACAACAACAACAACAAAACTTCAGTCTTGTAGCATTTGTGATTAAAGGAATGAAATAAGATCCTAACCTCTCCAGGAGAGTTCTCTTTCAGTTGTGGCTCCCACAACAAAATCTCATTGTCCACACTCTGAAACAGATATATAGAACACAGGAGTGTAACCTTTAGGTTTCTAGCTTATTCCACTAAAAGAAATCATCTGTTCTATCATTGACTAACTAACCTTTGAAAGAATAAAATCACCAAACCAACGGTTACAATCTACATAGTTTGTATGAACTGACGCAGTAAATACCTACACACAGAAGTCATGTTATCAACAATGAACATCAATAAGTTGTGACAAGACGAATAAAAAGAAAATACTTACAGGGAATTGTACAAATTTTGTTGGGAATTTGGACGGATCATCCGTCCATGTGTATGACTTTTCAACATATGTCCAAAACTCTGAAGGCAGCCAAAGAATAAGATCATACAAGCCAATTTTTCTAAAAAGGTTTCAACAAATGGAAGTTCCTTTCAAGTGTGTACCTTTCATGGACCATATCTTAATAGTGGTGTCCATGCCACAACTAGCAAAACGGAAAATCTCAGTGGGATGAAAGTCCTACAAAGTCAAGAGATGGTTTAAGATAACATTTAGTGTGTTTAAGGGAATATAACAGACCATATTGGTAAGGCTTACCACACTTAGAACTTCATATCGATGACCTCCGGCTCCAGCAAATATCAGAATACATATCCCAGTTTCAACATTCCACAATCTAACAGATTCATCCTGATCCAATCAAAACATGAAAACTCTTAATCACCAACAAATAAATGAATCCCATGACATGTTAGAGAGAAACAAAAAAAGTAAAGAGGGATACCTTGCTAGCAGTAATCACAAGTTGTGGTTTCAACGGCTGTGTCCTGATTTCGTTCACTGAATCCCCGTGGCCCACAAGGCTCTGCACATATGCAAGCATAGATTATACAACACATAACATCATTCTAAAGCTTAATAAATATGCAATGATACCTTATGAATCTTTTCATTGTTGACGTCAATGACTCTGATTATGCCTTTCACTCCTCCAGCCGCAACAAATGGGTTGTTCTTAACGCCACACGCCCAGCTTACAGTGTAAAACGACTCCTCCTTCTGATCTCCAGACCACATAGACAAATGGCCTCAATGAAACTTTTTATTACATGGAAAAGCTAGTAAATTATATAATTATGTATACTTCCTTACATCTTCATCAGCATAGGACTGCAATGCAGATATGGCTCCATCTTCAAGACAATTGTAGAGAGTAATCTACATAATAAGAGACACGCACCAATGGCAATAATGAGATCCATGACTCAGCTCAGTAAAGATTAAATGAAACCACGACAGACCAATCAAGTTTACAAGATAATGAAGCCATAAACTCCAGCTAGTCTTAAACAGAAAAAAAAGCCATACACTTTCACACAAAAGTTTCAATTTTTTACATGTATACGCCCTTTAAGAAGGAACCCATCAAGCAAAGTTTCAATTTTTCCGACAAGTGAACCGACAACATCTCAAAAACAGCAATCACAAACCCAAAATCAGACAGAAGGGAAGATTTTTATAGGGCAAATCGATCTCTACCAAAACCTAAACAGACCCAGATTCACAATAAAGGTTAAGACTTTACCCTGTTTCCACCAGCAGTGACGAAGACATTGAAGAAACGAGAATCAAGGAAGTTAAAAACAACAGCATACAGAGGCTTCTTCCCTTCTTGAATCCTATTGGTCACTTTGTAAGATTTCTTGTTGGATGGAGTCAAAGACCCAACAAGTGATTCGTTCCCTACAGTTATCCTCGACATCTCTCTCTCTCTCTCTCTCTCTTGCACACTGTTTCTCTAGTTTAAGCTCACAAGTCTCATGCAATAACAGAGTCTTTGTAAGTTTCGATAATTATGCGTTTCCGAAGTTACTGCCAATTTTAGATTTGACCTTACGACCAAAATTTATATTTGACCAGACAAAGCAAAAAGATACCAAAGTTTGGTAAGAAAATCGGAATTAATATGTTATATAGAGAAAAAAATCTCAGTTAGTACTAAACTCGAGTAAAATAATAGAATACTAGAATCTGACATATTTTTTATTTTCAATTTTTTTAAAAAAATTATTTTTGTTTTTCTTTCTAACTATATTTGTGTTTTCCTTTGTAATCATATTTGTATAAAATATATATATATTAAAATGATTAGAAAAGGATTTTGATAATTGTATTGAATTTGTGATGTTGTATAATTATAAACTCGTGCCATAACCATTTCACATATTAATTTTATACTTTATTCTTCAAAAAATATTTAAAAAATTACAACTATATTTACAATTTTATTTAGTAATCAAATATTAATTAAATAGATAAAATTATATGTTTTTCATTAAATTTTCATGATTTGATTTCATATATAATAGTAATAACGTCTACACAGAATAATTTTTCATGTAATTAAAAATGAATTTTGTAAAATTTGACTTAATGTATAATTTAGTTTTTTAAGGTGACATAGAAAAATAATTGTTGAACCAAATATATATCAATATGTCATAATCTTAATTGAAAAGAATAGATATTGTCCATGTGCAATACTTTAATTAAATAGTATAAAAATGGTCATATTGCTGCATAAAAATATAATTATTTTGATTAAGTCATAATGATTATATATATTTATCATAATAATGATTTGTTTAAGTATTGTAACAAATTTAAGTAATACTCGGAATATGTTTGAATTGTAGTAAAATCTATTTATATACATTACAGATTAATTGGTGTGATACCATGTATATAAACGTTTATATTCATCTTGATTCTATAGAGATTGGTGGTTTTATTTCAATTGGTGTGATACCATGTAAACACTGATAAAGATTTTAACTGCCTTAGATTTATTTACGATATATCTTTTGTAATTGCTATAATTCAATAGATATTATCCACGGGTGGTTAGTTACGTTAATATATGATAGATAGTGGTTACAAAATATATATATTTAGATGCAGCTAGAATTAATTGTTGTACCACATTTTTGTCAATTGGTCATGATCCTAATTTAATAATATTGATTTAAGTATAACATATTTTGATTATGATAGAATATCTCCAAGTTGGAAAGATATATAATTTGTAATTAAGATAAGAGAAAATGACCAATCCACTTTCACAAGTTTTGATTATTTAAAAAAAAAAAAAATATTATATATATATCTATCTATCCGAGAATCGAGAAATTAGTTTCAGTTACGAATTCGATTTGAACAAAACAACCCAAATCAAATTATTACATTCTGGCTTTGCCCGTCCATTAAATCCGATATGTTTTGCTAATCTGATTTTCGAAATCATGGGAATCAAAAACTGTTGACGAATGTAGGTGAGAGAACATCGTTGTCTCGAATGCCGGGACTTCCTTCATTGTCTTAACATAGCTAACTCTTGATAAAGTTCTCGAAGCTTGTAACCGTCACTTTCGATGAAGCTTTAACCGACGAACAATAGAAAAAGAGATTCGAGAGAATACCAAAGGGGACCTTGAACCAAGTTGTACACTCCTCCATGCCGTCACGAGAACCAAATGGCGGGTTGAAATCTCTACCGCTACCGAACTAGAAAGACTCCAAAACGTGCAAAGAAATTTCAAATACACTGTCGAGAGTTTAGTTGAACTAAAACGGCTCCAAGAAGTGCACAAAGAACAAATTCTGACTCTGAGGTGATCAATGACTCTCCCGAAAACCACCTCTACATCCGAGGCCACTGAGAACCGAAGGCCTAAATCTATGCTTCTAAACCCAAATCCGGAGTTGATAGATAGGGGGAAACGATGAACGCACAAGGAGACTCCACTCCAGAGTGAAAACCATCACTTAATCATCATTGGGGGACTGGAACAGAAGCCAAAACGAAAGCTTCGAGATGAGGCTGTGTGAAAGAGAGCCTCCAAAGGCCATAGACGACCATTGGAACTACCACAAAATACAAGTAAAGCTAACGAACACACAGACGCAAAGCAGAGCATGGAGCTAGAACCAACACCTCCTGCATTCCAGAGCCCTAGCCTCGCCTCTGACACAAACAGACAGCCATCGAAACTCACCTATCCACCGGTTAGAGAAGCAAGTTCCCTTCTACTCCGAAGGAAGAACCAAAGACACCATAACCAAATTTTCTCATTTTTTTTATATTACAAGCTGTTTCCCAAAAACACCACGTGGAATGAGTCTGAAGTCAAAATCAAATGAATACTAATGTTTAAAAATATAAAACATTTTTATTGTCAGCAATGTATAATACTCTCCACGTCTCCAACAATTGGTTGGTTTCACTAAACTTGGAACATAAGAGAACGAGTACACAAGTGGAAAACTGTTAATTTTAATCTAACTCTTATTATAGCAATAAAATTCCAGAGAATCCCATGGATAGACATTTTAAGAGATAATGCCATTTTCAAAAATTGTAGTAAAAATCTTAGAATGTTATAACATGGTAAGAATAACTAGATTCTACACCTTTTACAAAACATTTCTTATATATTAGGGAGATCAGAGATATGATGCAAGTTCCTTGTTCTAGCACAGTTGGACATTTGATGTATGCAATGGTATGTACTATACAAAGAACATAGCTATTATAAGGTTCCACAAGATAAGGGAGTTAACAATTGAAAAAGTGCATACATCAAAAATGTAGTTGACATATTGATCAAGTCTGTTACAACAAATGAAATCCAAATATTACTTGGATTTTCTCTATGTTGGTTGATGCTAGAAGCAAATGAGCTTCCACAACTCACAAAATAGTCAGAATTTATTGATAGAGATTTACAAAAATCACTATAATAACTACATTTGGGAGTTAAAAAATACTAGGTCGTCGGAATAAGATTATGTAGTCAGATAACGATCTTAATCCTACAAATTTATTGAAAACCTAGAAAAATTATTAGTCTAAAGTCGTGAGTGGCGAATGAATGTGTTTCTTTCTAAACCTATATGTATTTATGAAGCCATAGTTTTTTTTGAGAAACTACTTATAATAACATACATTTTATATGTAATGACTAGAATAACATATAAAAACTAAGAAATAAAAAAAGGATAGCATAAAGTCCAAAATTCCCAATCGATAGGATGAATTAAATTTAAATTAAAATTCACTACAAAGATAACAGTTTAAAAAAAAATCATTCTTAAGCAAAAAAGAAAAAATCTCCTCTTTCCAAAGCCCATTCCTGACACATGAACCCTAAATCCCTCGAGTCCTCTATTCTCGAAGCTCTTGTGTTTTGATTCGATTTCACCGAGAATCGATCTTGTTCTTATCCTTCTCTACCACAAAAAATCTTGGTTTTAACTGGTAAACATCAAAGTAATATAAGGAATAAGAAAGAATGGAATGAAAAGGAAAAAAATAAAAGGAAAATTTATTCCCCTTCTAATTTGACAAGGAACAATTGTAGTATTTTATTCATTAAATCTTAAGGAATGTCAAGGAATCATAGATAACAAATATTCCTTATAAATGGTGTAAATTATAAGGAATAGTAAGGAACTGACTATTCCCACTCATTCCTTTGGTCACCATTTGGAGCCCTTCTATTCACCAGGGAAGAGAATTTGAATCCCAGAAATCTGACAAACCCCTAATCCCCTTTCTGAAATTCTGGGGAACCCTAAATCATAAGGTGATCTTGTCATGTATGAGTTTTTTTTCCATTATCTTTCTCAGGTAGCTGTTACCTATTATACTGCATTGGCTCTCTTCATCACATGCACCTTAGAATGTTGTTGCAGGATTGAGAATTAATGGTTCTGAGAGAACTTATATTGTAGATGTTGTTTTGGTGTGTAGGAACCCATGAGGAAGTCCAGAATGACTAAGAACCGTGATACTTGCTGTTGTTATTGCTACTTTCATAAGTCTGACTATCGTATACCTCCTGTCTTATATTCATCTCTCCAGTAATACTTTATCTCAAAGCTTTGTTTTGGAAACTTATCACAATAATTAGCAAACTTTTACTTGATCATGGCGTTAACCATTGTTGGAAAATTTATGCTCCCAAGGTTCGAAAAGGTCGATCGTCACTGCACTATGCATTATCACTGACTTCTCTGTTGCTCTTGTATCTTCTGCTTTTCTTCTTGCATTTACTGAGTACTAGTGGTCCGTCCGCGCTGCGCGAGGGTTATCGGATATTTGTATTATTTAAAAAATTTAAATTATTTCGTGGTTTGTAATGTAATATTTTTATTGTGTTTTGTTTATGAGAATGGTCTATCATGATATCAATGTGATGGCATTAGGGTTAAATGGTGGATATTTGGATATTATTTTTAAATTCTTGAGTCATAGATGTTATTTTTTTGTTTGACAAATTTTATTTTTTCAGGATCAGAGATAATAGCTATGAGAATATTTTTCATAAAAATTTATTTGAAAACAAAGTCTAACAATTTATTCTAAAAGCAAAATTAAACAGAACCTTTGGAAGAAATTGAAGAGGAACATAAATGTTCAACTTACACTGAGAAACAAAACAAATAAATCAAAAGTGGAAGGAGTACGTCATCATGTTAATG